TTTCTGTGGAGAAGTCAACAATATCATTGCTTACCAATGACCCACTTAGCACTACAAGAATGAAAGGCGATAACACCTGCCTTTTAAGTCACCTTAACTCAGGTGACCTTAAAATGTAAACAACTAGAGAATTTTGACATCTACTGGAAAGGCTGCCAAAGATTTTTTTTTTGCTGTAGTACACCCATAGCATACACTTGTAACAGCTACATTATTGGGTTGGGTGGGCTTTTTTCATAGATACAGGTCTGCCATTTATAACGTCCCCATCCACAGTTTATACAAACCTACAAACCTGTTTGGATTCAGACTTGGTCAATAATGCTACTGTCTTGTTATGAGAAGCACTAAGGGAAAACTTGGCAAGTTCCGATTTACTAAAAAAACAAAAAAACAAACCACACCAAATGTAGCATAGAGAACAAATGGTTTCTTCTCATTCACACTGACCCTAAATCAGACCCTCTGTGCCACCGTTATCCAAACTCACAGAATGCTGGCCACAAAACAGCTACAGAAACGCTAGTGTAGGTCAGCTTAGTGTATCATCTGTAATGAACACAGGACCAGATTTTCCCGGGGCAGTGTTTTCATGCCTGTTGTAGGGGGTAATTTTATTTTATTGTCTGGTGCACTGATAAGAGTAGATAAGGACTAGAATCAGTGGTCAGACATAGGGCTATTACATCTCGATCTCGGTAGTCATCAACAAGGGAGGGGGGGGTTCACACTTCTAACAGCTAAACCATTACACGGGGCTGCTCTTATATCTATGCAGTAATGTACTAGTTTTATGCTTTTGCAATGGAACTTGTCCACATTTATAGAATGTTAACTCGCTATATCCCTTAGTAATGGGACAGGGTGGACATTTTGAAAATAATGTTCAGGACTTGCCAGAAGAAATCCCACCAAAATTAAGTGTTCATTCCAATATTCCCCTAAAGATATCTACATCAACAGCACTGGTCTGAACTTCTCAAGGTTTACTTGAGTTCATAAAAAGCATCTTGTACTTGCCACCTTTTTGAAATTTCCATGGGGGGATTACACGTTCTCAGAATTAAAAACATAAATGAAATGAGTGTATATGTACACCAAAGAGAAAAAATAACATTTTTAAATGGATCTATTGAGCTGTTCTTTGAGATGAATTCATCAGATTTTTTGAAAATAGGAATAGTTTAGCAAATTCACTGGCTGAAAATGCATAATTTTAGGGCCCCAATCGGGAGTCTGCCTTTTAAATAGGGATAGTTGGCAAGTATGAAAAGGCACCACTATGCTAAATTATCTGTTTTCCTGAATTCATTGACCAGCACTATTGGCAAAATCTTCCTGTAACAACGCCACATCAAGAGGCACCAATGAGCTGTTTACTCCAATATTTCCCTAAAGTCATGAGACTTGTGGCTGAGCTGAATTCCCAATATTTCTCTAAGCATAGAGGAGTCAACAAAGTTGAATTTCCAATCTTTCTGTAAATTCATGAGAATCATGATTAGTCTGAATTCCTCAATGTTTTCCAAAGTCATTAGAAGCACCAATTGGCTGAATTTCCCAATGATGACTGCAATTTAGCACCACTGAGTTGAATTCTCAACATTGATCTCACATCATTGAGAAGCACCTACAACTGAGATGAATTCTGGATATTAAACTTACATCATTGAGAAGCACCACTGAACTGAACTGCTCATTTTCCCCCCTTATAAGTCCTTGAGAAGCACCAATCTATCCCCGACAGTTTTAATATTGACTCATTTAACACTGGACAATATTTTGTTTCTTAAGCCAAAGTATTTTTAATTGAAACAAGCAAATTCGTGGAATTTATATCCCCCGCTTGCAGGACATATTGTAGGTTAGGTTTAAACATGTGAGTATCGTGCTGTTGAGACATAATGTATAGCTTGAAACTTGAAGAAAAAAAAGAAGCCCTAAATACCTCATTGATTATCTGTAAATATGCACAAATCACATTGGTTGGCAAACTTAGCATGAGTTGGATGTGCATAGGGAATTTGGTTGAAACCCCTTAACAATATCTACAGCAACAAGTACTAATTGTAATGGGGGACCATTACAGAAAGATGTCCCCCAAACTGCCCCCATAGTCGCAAAGAGGCATCAGAAAAGGATCGCATTGCCATAGTACACCTACAATGTACATACTCAATTTGAGTTAAATTGAGCAAATTCTAAATTGCAACCAATCAGAAGCCTCTGTGTAGTTGCTATGGCAACGTAACGTATGCTATTCAATGTGCAGTCCCCTAATACCCCAGTATACCAATTTTCATCAAAATCAATCAATATCTAAATTGTGACCAATCAGAAGCCTCCATGTGGTTGCTATGGTAACTAAACTTATGCGGTTTTATTTGCAGTCCCCTAATATCCTTATATACCAATTTTCATCAAAATCAAACAATATCTAAATTTCGACCAATCAGAAGCCTCTTTGTGGTTGCTATGGTTACGAAACATATGCGGTTGAATTTGCAGTCCCCTTAAACCCCTCTAAAAGGATTTTCATCAAATCGAACAATATCTAAATTTCGACCAATCAGAAGCTTCAGTGTGGTAGCTATGGCAACGGAACCAATGCGGTTGAATTTGCAGTCCCCTAATATCTCTATATAACAATATTCATCAAAATCGATCCAAGTTTAAAGAAAATTGGTTAACATTTGTTATAGTTATTGCACAGAAACAAAACCCACAGATAATTACGTTTTTCATTATTTAAGGGGCCATAACTCTGCCAAATGGGGTCCGCTGAAAGTCCTTAGGCATTTAACCCTGTGACCAAATTTGGAGAAAATCGGTTAACATTTGTTGTAGTTATTGCACAGAAACGAAGCGAGGCAGATAATGATATTTTCATTATTCAAGGGGCCATAACTCCACCAAAAGGGCATCAAACTTGACCAAGCCCTTAAGGCATTTAACCCTGTGACCAAGTTTGAAGAAAATCAGTTAATATTTGTTGTGGTTATTGCACGGAAACGAAGCGTGACAGACAGACAGACGGACAGACCCATATTAATATCCCCCGTTTTGGTGAAAGCGGGGGATAAAAAAAATGTTCTCAGTACTGGCAAATCAAGCCCTGTATCTGTCTGCCATTGAAGAGGTATATAAACTGTAATATTTCTTTTTTCAAGAAATATTTTGTAGTTCAATTATTCAAAGATTCTGATGAAGCGAAAAATCCGTTTCAGATATATATATGTTAATTCCAAATGAAAGGATTGGTTTAATTTGGTTTATTAGGTTAAGTGTTCTATTAACAGCTTGGGTTATTATATGTTAGCATATTTGTCTCCTTGTAATATTGCTAATCTGATGCCAACTTTAGAGTGCTACTTTATTGAAATACCATGTCGAAGGCATCCAGCACAGTACTCCACCTGGTCACATACTTACATTGATAACAGGCTAATCATTCCTTCTTCAGGGACAGAAGCCATAACATCCCATGCGTAGGCAAAAGCTGAATACTAAGTCAAAAACTAAGGTATTGCCAAGTAAGTATATGCTATAGGAAAATCAAGAGTGGTTAGAAAGGAGAGAAAACATACAGATTCCAAACATACTGTTACTGGGTACAACCATAACAGACATGTTTCATGAGAAAATGTGAAGTGTTTATGATGTACACACATGTATACTTGTACTAGAAAATTTGAAAGCAAAAACAAGTTATAATCCACCTATGCATTTCAATGAATTAACCTTTGCTTCTTTATCATAACCTTGACCTTAAGGGTACAAACCTAAAGTATTATACAACCTCTGTTCATGATACAAATGTATTTCAAGTTACATCAGAATATGCAAAGTATTTGAAGATATAGTTCCTACGAGCATTACAATGTGACCCTTGACCCTTTGTCCTTTAATTATTGTACTGGCCTTGGAGTGTTATGCTGTGTACAGACAAACGAACAAATTGACTGCTATACATACCCCATTTATAATTACTTGATAAAGGTGTGTGTTTCGGGTGAGGGATATGTTATAATAACATGTTTTGAAACTCTACACATGTGTATTTCTCTGCTCGATCTGTGTCACAAAGAAAATTAGTTCTGGTCGCTTGCTTTGGTGACAAATATGTGAGATATGCATACCTGTATGATTTAACGTCATTTAGACATTTAATAATTCATTAACTCTTTGAGTAAATTAATAAAAATAGGATCAGTGTTTTGCTTAACATCAAAACATTATCAATTCCCCAGACAGCCATTAAAAACGGCACCAATAAAACCTGCACTACGCACAGCATTGATCACCACGAGTGTACTGCTGACTATAACTGTCATAACAGAAACACGACACCTCAAAACATTATGTCACGTAGGTGATTATGTTACCTTTTGTATCATCAATGATACTTCATTGAAGTTCAGCTAACCAAGGAACATAACCACAAAACAACTAACAGGGGAGTTAACATAGCCATGCATATCATCAATGTGTGCTATATCAATATATCTCTATCTTTCATTGAATTCACACAGAAGTTGGTCAAAATCAGTAAATATGACATGGTATTTGTCCTATACTGTATGACAACAAGTGAGAATGTGTTTTTTTCCCACCAAACATGTTAATATACCACGTACAAATCATTCTGTGAAGTTTTCAGTGCAACTGTACTCATATAAAATTCTCCAATTGTGCTGGAAATGATTGAAACGATATAACACAGCTCAATGTTACTGACATCATGGATTCTATAATGCATGCAGTATTAACACAGTTTTTTAAACTATTTTGTAATATCAGTACAGAAGAACTAATTCTTGACTTCAAGAGATGTTACCTACCTTCAACCTTCCATTCAATGACAATGTCCTTCATGAACCTAACAAGCAAATAATACCTTTGTTAAAAATCCTTTAAACAGGTCAAGCTCATCGGTCGAATGGTACATAGATCATACTTAAATAGTACATGGTACCTGTGATGCTAATTAGCCTATTTACCTGAGGATTTCCAGGGACTATCAATAGACACACCTGTAGACCACTCACACCAACACGTCAATGCTATATATTCCCAGGGTTTCCCTAGCCCTAGTCCTATCCAGCGCTGTTGTCCAACTTTTGGTATTCCACTTGAACCCTGGCCTGTTGATCCTGTGTATAAAACCCAATATATCAGACGGGCTGTATAGAAGCCAATGTATCCGACAGGCAGTGTATCAATTACTACATGGCATATATTCTATGATATTAACACCTAAATCACAATATATCATGGGATGTGTTAAAAAAAACGCCTCTGTTAGCCTCTATATTCCCAAGGATCTATATTTGCACATGAGCAATCGACCAGTTTAGGTATAAGATATTGACCAGTTTGAGTCATACAGTAGTTTAATGTAAAAGATGATGAAAGTCCTTCTATGATGTCAAAATGTTTTGATTTGTATCTGTGATATTGTGTGTTTTTAATTAAACAGAACAGCTTCCAATCTCAGACAGCATCAATATAGCCATTATATTAGAGTGACCAATCGCTAAGAGTATTGACAACCTCGTGAGGCAGGACGGAAGTAAGTGCTTAACGCACAGGATATATCTTGTATTCTCATTTTTGAATTAAGACAGGAATACAGATCTGATAGTGGAGGTCAAAGATCAGTATTCTCTTAAACAAGACCAATAAAACAAATTAATTTCCTATTGGCTAAATGTAACTAGTGACCAACTTTGAGATCATTACATTGCATACAGCTAAAGATCTTTATACTTAACTGCCTGACAGTTCAAAACACTTATTTTCTTGAAGAAAGATCTTTTAGACTGTGTAGTATCCATATTTTAACATTTTTCAACTTTAAAACACTTCTAATTAACTCATTCACCCCTAAAGTCACATTTGAACTCTTCCAATCCAAAGGTTGGAACAGTTCATTATGAAATTTCAGGGGTGAATGAGTCAAAGGTTTGAAAAATAAAAACTTAATGTAACTTCAGAATGTGTGCTTGAAACTATATATATGCATGATTTATGAATGATTAATCTGTACAATCAAAGGAACTATAAAAGTGTAGGAATACGTTAAAGACAATTTCAACATACACTACAACACAGTGAACCTATATCTTAACAGGTCTATCTGTAATGGTACCAGTGAAACCGAGGTTTTCGTGACATCCTTACCCGAGCGTGGTGTATCTCTTTGTCCGGCTTGGCACCGTGTCCAGAATGGTAATGGTCACACTGGGAACAAGCAGGCGATAACCTTGTTAGAGATAATCATGTCAAGCAAACACGACACTTCCAGATCTGACCAGGGCACTAATACCCTGTGTGGCCGCTTTCTCTGATCATTACCGTACCTAATACTCTGATTGTCACCGACTGGACTGCCCAATCTTACACCAACTGTCTCAGATTTATAGAAAGCGATTCGATAAGCGCTTGTGTGGCTTCATCAGGACTGACCAGAGTAACAATTATGACATAAAAATATCACGAATGACATGACATAAGCATGCTGTTAGTCATCAACAGAATAGCACCATATACTTGACTATTAATCATTTGTAATACTCAGGTTAAATTCATAGAATTAAACAAAACTTAAGAATGATCAAAATAGGGACTAGTCTCAGTATAATGGAGAATAAGACACAAGTTTACATAGATATAAAAGGAAGCATCTTTCTTTTCCTGATTTTATTTACATGAAAAATGTTTTGTTGGAAATAGACTGTTTGTTCCATTTAAAAGATAATTAAAAGACATTTGATGTACCTGGTAGTTTATTGAAACTCAGGATTAGTCTAAAAGTTGGGTTCCGAGTGAATATTAATATTATTTCGTATAGGAATGCAAGACACTGTGTATTTTGGAGTCCCTACATTTTCGTTTCTCTCTTTTCCATTTGGTATGGAAATGACACTACCATGATGGAGCACTGTTACTTATTCTACTTTTGTGAAAGGCAAGTTTATATACAAGATATCAACACACCTTTCAAAACAGACGTACATTCCTAGTTTTTGAGGGGTAACCTTGAGAAATACACTGTATTGATACTGATACAATCTGACAGCCATATAAATCATATCGACATAGGCATGATTCTTTATGATTCATGGAAAAGCTTTCTGTGTTTTCAAACCAAAGATGGATTTCGGTAATACTCTATAGAAGATGATAAACAGCCTATGTTGACACACGCCAGTCAAAAGAGCTCTAGAAAACATTTACGTATTCTGCTCACTATAAGACAGGTATTTTTATATAGCTGTCAGGACACAGACAATGTCAAATGGATGTGACCTTCAAATATGCACTTGACCTTGAAAGTCACATTTCCCCTGACAGAGTTTCCTGAGGATATCTGGTCCAGGTTAGAGAGTATCAGATGTTGATCAAATTTATGATATTTTATCATGTGACCCTAGCTAATTATTGCAAAGACACAAAATCCAAATCAATAAATCAGTCAATCATTCTAGCCATTACTCCATGTGACTAGAACAATGACACGTCAGAAAGCTTAAGGGCCCTGCTGTACATGTGTGCCTGTCACCATAATAATAAGGCAGAAACATTGACAATCATTTTGGATTGTGGAATATGGGTCATGAAGGTGCTACTTGTAACCCGACTTGTATCAATTGGTAATAATTATAAACAAAGTCATACAAACAGAACAGAATTAATAGTCCAAAAGGTCTCAGCTGATCAGAATTAGCCATGGCCATTGCAGCCGTCTATGATAATCTGAGATGGAAAGTTTTGTCCTTATGAATCCTGTAGACTATCAAGTAAGTACCAATTACCAATAAGTAAGAACAAAATTGTATCAAAAAAACAAAGTTATAGCCATATCTTATATACATATATCTTGGCTAATCAGAATTGACAAAGGGCGACTAGGCAGTCCTTAATTTGCAGCCTTGGGTTTAAGATCCTAGTAATATCACATTATTCATATAGGATATCCACCAAATATATCATTTACCACCAAAACACTGGCCTGCCATAGAACTGCAGTCTGTCTAGTACTTTTTGAGAAATAAATGATAAGAAGACCAAAGGCAAGAAAATGGACCACAAATGATAGGCAATTTGAATAGCCCAGAATCTGATGACGGTTGGCTTAAAAATGTAAGTGAAAAATACAGAAAATTAGTTTTGAACAAAAAGCATGGAGTTCAAAATTAGAATATATAGATATCTGTGCAATAGCTCTCTACAGTTGAAGAAACATTTTGGACTGTGACTGAAGCTTCCTTACCAAACACCTGTTAGAACTATTATACCATATATGTTCAAAGCCAGGACAGACAAGGACTCCCTAAACATATTTTAAGTCCCTATAGGGATACAGTCATGAAAATAATTTCGCATTGCTACAAACATTAGTACTTTTCAAAAGGCTATTCCAACACCGTCTGGATATGGATGCTATCTGTCAATGTAATGCTTCTAAAATCTGAACTAATCCCTTCAACTTAAACACAGGGGAATCCGAATAAAACATTGCTTCCTCGATCGAAACCATGTAGTGCAAGTGCATCTTTGTGTTCAATTTCAATTCAATAGAATTTCAATAATAATATATCATTACAAAGTTGTGTAAGGAAGTGTGTGTTATCAGTGATGTGTAGACATGTTGATCTGATGACAGGATGGGGGGCCTGTACTGTTAGATACAACAGCCTGATAGTGGCCTCATTGGTGGGGCTATGGCCTTCCCAGCACTCCACTCTCATAGATCTATTGTCAGGGTAACGACTCCCAAGGACCAGACAAAGTGCAGTCTGAAAACCAAAGCCAACATCAAGATCCTATACCTTCAAAACTGAGTAAAGTGCACTTTCAAAACTAGGTCTTCTAAAGTTTAACACACAGCGAATCTCAAAGTCTTTGCCATTAGTACACAAAGAACTATTTTTTCAATACCGTCAATGACACTCAAATCCCATTGATAATGTTTTTCAAACTCAATCAAATTAAAAGCCACACCAAAAGAACAACTTAAAAGTATTTCTGCATCTCCAAAAACAAGTACAACCTTTATTACAAACAGTTTAAACAATTTCTGGTCAACATTTTATTTTTCTTTGGTTTTCAATTATAATTAATCATAAGCATTGAGATTTACTAAAAAAAAATAATATTAATATGATTACAATAAAAAAATGTTTTAAATATTTTAAGAACCCACAATGGAAGAATCATACAGTTAATGCTCTTATAATTATGAAACAAACTTCAGACAGAATGGGATTAGTTTTATCATATATCCAAACCAAACCATTCAATGTTCTAATATTTAGATTGGAAAAATCAAAGCAAAAACATTATATATAAGTGATGACACTGCATGTTCCCTTGTGATATTTCTATGGGCGATGTCACATATGAAAAGGACCTTATTGCACTTCATAGTAGTCTCTGTACATGTATATAGAATAATACTGTTAACACAGTCTTAACATTTATTTTTCTCACTCAATACCTTGAATCTGCCAATTGAACTTGAGGGCATGTGCCCCTTTCTCAAACAGGGGGGAAGTTATATGTAGCGCCCCTTTGACTTCTCAAATAATTGAGATTTGTTCGCCTTCCCATTGTCATAGATCCTCCTTTGCTGTAGTTTGTTCTTGCACTGGGCCAGATCAATTATGGATCCCGATACTGCTTTCAAAATCTGTAAGCTTTGGAAACTTATTTTCCAGCATGTCCTTAGCTTGGATAAATCATTCCTGAAAAGAAACCATACCCTGTGAAAGACTTTATAAACCTTTTCAGATTGATGAAATTTTATTTTTAATTCTTTTTTAACTTATGGAGAAAAAATGAAGAATATGTTTCATTTGATGAAATATAATTCTATCTAAACATATGAAAATTAAAATAAGTGGATGTGTTACCTTACTGAGCAACAAAAACATTATAGAGATCTAACAATTAAATTGTAGTATGGTGTACAGCATGAAGAAAACTAGCCAGTTTACCTTGAACTCAGTATAAAATTGGACTGCATGGCACCGATACTTTATTAGGCGTATCAACACCGAAAGTCATGAGGGCCAATATATGGTCAAAATTGTGGAAATGATACAGTACACAATTATGTAAAGTATCTATAAATTATTCACAGTAAGACCTTAACATTGAGTGTTTATTTAAGAATTATTACGTGGAAACCAGTAATAAGTTCAGGCGCGTAACCTTTGTAGCAAAAAAGCCCCGGCTTACACACCATCTTTGATCAAAAACAAAAACAAAACAAAAACGCAACATAGACTATATGATATAAAATATTAAAAAGCAAAATATTTGTACTATAATAGGAGAAAATAATATTTTCTTGCTTTAAAAGGGTCATTGAAACCGACGCCAGAACACGGGAGAACGTGTCTCAGGCGTTCTAGAAAACAAAATTCTCCTGGGGGAGACCCTCCAGACCCCTACCATGAATGGGAAGGGGGGAAAACCCTCCCATACCCTCATCCTCCACGCGCCTTTGGCAGCACATTTGATCATTGGGCTTACACATTGAAAAACCGTTTGTTACGCCCCTGAAGTTTTAAAACCCACCATGGCCACTGGCTGTATATATGTATATTTAAGTTCAAATGAATTAGGTAGAACTATGTACCCTGTGGACAAGCTTATAGAGTTACATCAATGTCCTTGAGTGATTCCTGAGAGATGACAATAGACAGTTAAGACTTCAGGTAGAAATTACTTTAGGTGCTTACATTCAAGATGCCTGCTGGTAGCCATGTTAATTTCCGACCCATCTGAAAATGATTCTACTGTGCCTTTGTAAGAAGTTTCAAGAATTTTTTTTTCGTTTAGAGTGCAATATTTATAAACACACTGTCATACTTGAAGATGTAATTGATACTATGACTATTTCATTATTTGTAGTTTCATACAAATCAAATCAACACTCATAACACATTTGGAAGCTGACCTGCTCTCTCCTTTGCCCCATTGATTAACAAGTCGGGGAAAACCACTAACTTGCGTATAATACGCAAACTCGCCTATTATACGCCAATAGGGGTATGGATTTGTTACTAAAAATAGCCAAAATCACTTTATCCTTAACTTTTTCAAATTGTTTGTCCATGTCACATTTATTCTGTCATGAAACATAATACAAATGCAAAAAAACGTATTACACGCAGGTTGGTGGTTTTCCCCAACCTGATTAAAACAAGAGCAAGGATATGTTTTTTTCAAAACCTACCCAACAGATGAATACCAGACAAGCTTGAATGTGTTTTTCTTATTCTCAGACATAAAAATATATGAAATGTTAACACTCATATGAAACGTTTGGCTTAGTTTTTTTTTATAGTATTTTGGTATAGATGGTTGTGCAGACATCCTCTAGTTTTTCATGATCTCTCTAATTAAAGTCCTAATCATGAAGTAAAACAATGCACATTTGAATAACTACAACTAGCCCCAAAGCAGTATCTTCCCAGCTGTATGTTTGAATAGGGTTTGTTTCCATAGTTATTGGTTCATGTCTTCAATTTTTGTCTCTCCTTAGCTATAAAATAAATATATACTACAAATTTGTATTGAGCTTGAACTACTAAACAACTTGTTCCTCTGATCCAGAGCCTTTCGTTTCCGTGTAATTTTTGGAATTGCAAAAAAAAACACCCATATAGGTCTTACTACCAGAACTTGTAAAGCTTAGGACAAAGTTACTTTAACCCTTTCACCCCTAGGTAACTTAAGTAGACTCTACCATACATTTATCTGGATGAGTCCATTGTGGTCCACAGTGGTGAAAGGGTTCAGAGAAATGATGGCAATAATCTACTTGAAATTAAATTAGTTCTAAAACAGTTTTGTATATATAATTTAGGTGGATGGATCAACTAACAGTAATGGCCAATATCTCTTTCCGACAATAACATGTTACTACCAGGAAATGGATTTGAAATCAAAGATATATTCAATCGTGTTTCAGATTTGAATTTAATTTGAAGGTATCTAGACAGACCAACAAATTAGACAAAAACCTGTATGTCTGGACTTTTAACAATCAATGTTACTGTAAACCAATCCTACTGCCGATCCTCTACATTTCTTGATCGTACTAAGTAGGCGTTACCACAGGGACCCGAGAATTTGTTACAGCTATTGCAATTTGGACCTATACTAAGATGTACATAGTAATATATAGCTGTAACAAATTATCAGGTCCCTGTGTACCGTACCGTATCCAAATTGGGTATAAAATTTTAAGTTCTGTTTTTAAGGCTCCGAGTATTATGAGATTACCTAAGATTTTTACTTCTGTTAAAATACAAAATAAAAAAAGAAGAAGTTGATATATTCTCTAGGACTTCTCACCTTCACGTTCCCCACTTCCTGTGTGTCGTCTGCTGCATGCTGTGACTGTTGAATTACTGTTGAATGGTTTGGGAAAAAATAAACGAATGACGTAACTGAGTTCCGGTTTTCATCTTCCATACTACACACTCCTTTATGCAGTCACCAACCTTAGTTTCCAGCGTTCAATGGTAGTGTAAATATTTTCACAAAATTATAAAGATTATTAAAACCAAAGATCCAATAATTTACGGAAACTCTTTTTTAATAGGAAGGGATCTCGTCCATATCTAATCTATCGCAAACTCCTAAATATGTTTGAACACATAGGACATAAGTTAACAAAATGAAATGGTATTCCTGCCCTAGAGGAATACATAAAAATGATGTGCATTTTCGTATATATGTGTGTAAATTGCGCTCTAAAATAGAAATAAAAACAGTGATCATATTGTCAAGTTTTTACGAGTCGCAATAAATGGAGGTTGCTATTTGGAGGCTTCAATCAACACCAAGTGTAAAAAGCGACCACCTTCCTGATCCTGAATCTATTGTTCTTAGCTAAATCTATAACGTTTATCAGATGGGGTGTGGCTGAAAAGCAAAAGAAGAGCGCAACAACACGAGACCAATGGTTACGACCACTTCGTTAACTTTTGAGAGACAAGTTTTGTTTACACAGAAGTAGGTTCAATACATGTTAAACACACAATACAATTGCAGTTTTTAAAAAAAAATCACTGTAAAGTTATTTTTCTTATTCCTCACAATTTGAAGTGTGTTGATTTTGGTAATTAGTATATGTATCATATTTCAATATAAGTTATCACATATCAAGTAGCTGATAAGTACACGAGCCTTTGAAAAATTGGTCCACCCCAAATCTATAAATTATTTCTATTGATATAATGTTTGTAATATATTGGCTGTAACAGTGATGCTTAATTGTTATGTATTAGCTGAAACAGTATATGTCCAAACAGGTCTCTTAGGTCCAACTGGACGTTGCTCTTTATCCCACCAAGAGTCGTATTGAGGAAAGGAAAAACAGTGTTTTAACTAGGTGTCAGAACAATTTTAGCTTCCTCGATGTTCAGTCTGATAGACTTTTTAGCGGACCAATAAAACGTTAAAAACACAAATGAAACAGATTAGTTTTAAAATCATTACTCATAGTCTGTTTGTATTTTATGTATCGTGTACATTTATGTATTGTGTGATAATTTTACATTTGGTTGTGATATTGTAACATCGTAATTTCTTGTGAACTGTTATTTGTTATCAACCTGTGAGTGGGCCTTATGGAATATATTCGTCCGCGCAATAGATTTGTTAGAAAAACACAAGTGTGTGGTCTTGCATGTATACAGCTTTTCAATAGAGAAAAATAATGAGTGATTTCAAAAACATTGACAGATTTAAGCTCCTCTGGCACACTGTGCCTGGAAGATCATGGGATTCACTGTGGGTGTCAGTAATGTCGTCAGTCCAAACTGTTTCTTCAAATGACTTCTGAAGAACTGAAATGTCTAGTCATGATATTTGGTCAGTAATTTGTAAGCATGAAGTGTTTTGCAACCATTGTGCACAATGTTGATATAACATTCAAGGTCACAGGGTTCAATTTTTTTCCAATGCTCAAACGGTTTCTACAGAATCTAAAGGCCTAGGGCAATATTTTGTCAGTAGTTTGTTGGCATGAGGCACTTCAAAGATTCAACATATCAAGGTTTAAATTTGTTAAAACGTTCAATCCAGTTCTTCTAAAGAACAAAAGGCATAGTCTTGATACTTGTAGGTCGGTGGAATAGGTCGAACCTGGGGAAAAAAATACTATGTTATCAAACTCTTCTGATTTCAACTCATCAATGTCTCAAGTATGATAGAAAAAAAAGTCATGAAAGATTCCCTTTGGGGGAAAAAATTGAGGCCATTTTTAACTTTGGCCTATTTTTCACCTTTTTTCGCCAAAAATGAAGAACGAGAATACATCGGTTAGATGAAAGAAAATTCAGATTTTTGATATTTTCTTTGATATTAGAGTGCTGCAAAGATGTTAATTTATTACACATAACTCTATATCCTACTTTGACAAAATTAATTGGCTCTGGTATTGGCATCATATTTCAAAATCCAAGATGGCTGACAATATCCGGTTAAAAAAAACATGGTACAAACCCACTTCGGCCTGGTACAGGTATATTATGATAATATAATATACTGTAATAATATAATATATTATAATAATAAACTAACACTAATATTGCAAATATACTTGTTATCTGATAGTGTGAACAGAATTAGTTGGGTACATACAGAGGATACAGTTATTAGCAGTAATCATGCAAACCCCAAGAACAGGATGTTAAATAATACTTTCTCCGATAGGTGAAGACTGTGACTTTTTAAGTAGATATTCATGCAAATTATTGTCCCCTCGCAGACTACTGACACGACTGAGAGTATCAAGTCCTTTCTTGTGAACCTTTTGTTTGTCATCCCCCAAAGCATCACGGCAAATCACACAACATCCCTCATGCAGACCACCAGGCACATGAGGGAAATCGCAATCTTGGACGTGCTGATCAACCATTATTGTATATCAAGTCCTAAAAAGACAGAAATCAAGGCATCAGTATATTACAAAGACGAAAGGGTTATATTAGACACACTTTTTTTTAGCAAAACCGTTGCAATCATGTGTACATAGTACATAGTCCTGACACAGCAAAATATACTTTTACAAAAATGGGCTTATCGTGACGCTTTATAATATTGTTACAAATATTGTCAACAAAAGTAGTACATATAATCATAAATCATTTATAACAAAAAAAGAAAAGAAAAAAACTGGACAATTCTTGCTGCAAAACCGCTGCTTCTCAATGAAATTCCACTTTTTCCATAAATCCAGATTGTAAACAGATTATGGTTATACTGCATACTATCTGCAATGTCACATAATAATTACAACATATTTATATGTTCTTTTAATACACAATATACATATCCAGTTGAATTAAATGATGTATTGCCATGCGTATTGAAAAGGGCATACAGGGCTTAGGAGCTACTCCGGAGAAAGTATTATTTAACCATTCTGTTCATGGGGATTGCATGATTGCTGCTAATAACTGTATCCTCTGTATGTACCCAACTATATTTTTTCACACTATCAGATAACACGTTATATATGCAATATTAGTGTTAGTTTATTATTATAATATATTATATTATTACAATATATTATATTATCATAATATACCTGTACCAGGCCGAAGTAGGCTCGTACCATGGTTTTTTGGTGGGTTTTTTTTATCCGGATATTGTCAGCCATCTTGGATTTTGAAATATGATGCCAATACCAGAGCCAATTAATTTTGTCAAAGTAGGATATAGAGTTATGTGTAATAAATTAACATATTTGCAGCACTCTAATATCAAAGAAAATATCAAAATCTGAATTTTCTTTCATCTAACCGATATATTCTGGTTCTTCATTTTTGGCGAAAAAAGGTGAAAAATAGGCCAAAGTTAAAAATGGCCTCAATTTTTTCCCCCAAAGGGAATCTTTCAGGACTTTTTTTTTATCATACTAGAGATATTGATGAGTTGAAATCAGAAGAGTTTGATAACATAGTAATTTTTTCCCTAGATCATCCTGAAACGGACCTATTCCACCGACCTATTGGCCAGTAACTTGCTGGCATGGAGAGCTTTAAAGTTGTCAACAGAAATGACCTTGACCTATATTTAAGGTCAATGGGTAAAGGTTTTTCACAATCACAAACTACATATTCTGCCAAAAGAAAGGAATGTAATGGCATAGAGATATGAAATTTAATTGGCCAGGAACTTGTTGGTAATTGCTGCTGTAGTGCTTCATGTTTTACTAACAGAAATTACATTGATTATTTTCTAAGGTCACATGGGTCAAATGTTTTAAAATATTCAAATAATTCCCTCAAGTTCATTGACAAAAGTACCCAGTAGAAAAGGGATAAGGCACAAGTTATAAAACATAAATGCCGTCTTGAGATACAACCACCCTAGGTGAATGTATCCATTTGTTTTACCTGTAATATTAAGACACTATAATATGATGATAATAATGTTGAAAAATTCTAGTGCTCTTTTGAGTACTCATCTCACTTACTCATAAAAACCCCAATACTGGCACTGATCAATTATCCAGATAGACACAACATCTTATCTATTACAATGCCTGTAGACTGGCCAAGCATTCTTAACTTTGAGGGAGACTGAAGTTTTCAACCACATTTATTTTTCAGCAAATTCCGTGTACACAGCTTGCATTGTACAGAAGTATTACATTGAATGTTACTGGTTGTACATTGTATATATATATTGTTTTACATTGTACTGTATAATTTAGTTTCACTTTTGTTTGTTTGGTTGTATGTAATTCCACTAACTTCATTTTAGCGACCTTGTATGATTGTATAATATTGTTGAACTTTTCCTATTACAACTGTCTTGTTTGGTTGTGTGTATTTTGTAGCTCTATTTATGTTTTGTCATCGAAACATGACACACACTGTCTGGTAGTTCTCAAATGATTTGTTTCATTTGTTAAACCCATTCACCACTGAAGACACATTTGAACTCTTTCAATTTAAAGGTTGGAATAGTTCATTATGAAATTTCAGGGGTAAATGAGTTTTAAACACAACAATGGAAATCATTGGTCTTATCATGTTTGTTGTTGTGAATTCGAAATGTTTTGATGATATAAATACTATTTCTGATCAACGTTCTAAAGTTATATGGTGTTGATCAGTGTTTAAGAGACAAATTACCAGCATTTTAAGCTCACCTGGCCCGAAGGGACAAGTGAGCTTATGCCGTGGTGCGGCGTCCGTTGTCAGTCCGGCATCAACTTTTTACTTTAAACATCTTCTTATGAATAACCAAGTGGCCCAATGTGATGATATTTGGCCACTAGCATGCTGGAATGAAAGGCTACCAAGTTTGTTCAAATGAATAAACTTAGCTCATTTTCAAGGTCACAGGGGTCAAATATGTTATAACCAGAAGGTTCAGGGTAATGA